ATTTTGAAATGGATGCCGAGCGAGCAGGAGGACGGAGCAAAACCTTTTTTTCTTTGCCACAAATGCCGCCGCCGTGCTGGTTGGGCTAACGGGGCCTCCTGGCAGGCCCAAGCCCAGTCGTAGAACCCTATATGGGCTTTCATCCGTCAGGTACCCCGTCTGGCCCGGTTAAGTCGGCCTCACTACCTCCAGCGCGGTGGGGCCCAACTGTTTCTGCTCTGATTTCTCAAGCGTCCGGTGAAGCAGCAAGCGGCGGAGCGTCCCCGCTGCGGCAAGGGATGGCGTCGTGGGCGGAGCAGCTGCAGCGCGAGCTCGCCGGCCGCGGCCTCGCCGTCGCCTCCGTTCCAGGAAAGGGCCGCGGCCTCCTCGCCGCCCGCAGCTTCTTCCCAGGTAACTCCGCCCTCCCTCCCCTCGGCCGCAGCCGTTCTTTGCCCCTATACGCTGACCTGCCCGCGAACCGCTCGGCGAAATGCCCAGATGAATGGCACACGTAGATGTCGCTGAGATGGATGATACTAGTCCTTGAGTCGAGCTTGGCCTGCTGGTTTATGTATAATCAAGCTCATGAGGTGGGATTCTGCGACGGTTTTGCAGGGGAGGTCATTATTTGCCAGGAACCCTATGCTTCTACGCCCAACAGGATTTCGGTTGGATCGAGCTGCGACCACTGCTTCGCCTCCGGCAACCTGAGGAAGTGCTCGGTTTGTCGAGTAGCTTGGTACTGCGGGAGCGTGTGCCAGGTTCGGACTCTGCCCTTCGGTTGTTTCACGCCGTTGATGGGCAAATACATACTTCTGTGGTCATGCGTAAACATTCTTTGTGGTGATTATTATGCTTTCAGTGATGTCACTTCTTTCAGTGAATTTTTGTTATTGCATAGAAAGAAGAATGGAAGCTTCATCAACTTGAGTGTCAAGCCATCTCAGCGCTCACAGAGGAAAGGAAGAAGATGCTTACTCCTACAATCCGTTTGATGGTGCGGCTTATACTAAGAAGAAAACTGCAAAGCGAGAAGGTATTGGCTGGTTTGGTCTATTCCTGACAAAAACTTTCTGTACAATGCCTCTGTATTTTCAGTGCATCATTGTTGGTTGCATCCTCTTAGCTTGATACTACTTGTATTTCCAGGCCATTCCATCTTCAGCAACAGATAACTACGATCTGGTGGATGCGCTGGAGTCCCGTATCCTGCCCTCTTGACACATGATTCATGATAAATTATAAAGATTATGATTTGAGAGTGTTGGATTGACTTCGCATGAATAGACATCTCGAAGGTTGATGATAATCAATTGGTCCTCTATGCTCAGATGGCCAATCTTGTGCAGCTGATTCTCCCTTCAATTGAACTTGATCTTAAGGAAATCGCACATACTTTTTCTAAGGTAATGCCCAATTGCCCATAATATGTTTTTCCTTAGGTTCGTAAATGTTTTAACTGCTATAGTAGACGGAGATTCAAATTAATTATGTGATGCATTATGCTGATGAAAACAGCTGGTTTCAGGTGTTATTGTGAGTGTTTGGTGCCCTTGTGTTTCTCTACCCTGATAGCTTTTTAATTTCTGAACGTTGAGATCGAGTGTTTGGTCTGAACCCCTCAGAGATGTCCTAGAACTTGCTAATCCTGACAGATCTCGAAAAGGGTGGCGGCACTAGAACCAAATCTACATGCACATCAAAACTTTCTATCTTAGCCAAGCTAGCACCCCCGCCCCGCCTTGTCCTCCCTTGTTTAGTCCTAATTTCCTGATATCTCAAGTAACCAAGGACTCGTATGGTCTTGTTTGAGTAGAGTAAAATCAGGTCTATACACTTCCTGTGTAGATAAACTAGCATGCTACTGGAGAAAAGACATGTGTTCTCCAAATATTGTGAAATGAGCCCTTTTTGTAAATCGAAAAGCACACTTTACAGTTATAAAAAAATCTGTAGTTCTTTCCGCAAGTACATATACATTCTTACTAACCTGTAAAATTTGATAATATGTTTATTTGAGGGCTACACAAAAAAGACCAGTATGTGGATCTATAATAGATGCTATTCGGTATTATAGATCCACGCATTTGTTGTTTCTGCACCCCACAAATGAAACCAGTTATTATTATTTTTTTACATCATGTAGATCACATCTATAGGTACATGTGGAATTGTTTTCAAAAAAATTATGAAACTTTGAAATATGATTTTTTTTAAAAAAAAAAATTGGGACACAAGGGACCTGGGAGCTAAAACACCTCTCTCATGTTGTCGTAATACTTATTCTACCCCAGTTATACATTTTGCTGTGTTGTTCGGTCATTGGTATCAATAGTTTGGACCATACCAACGAAGAGTATAGAAACATCCAAACTCAATATTTTGAACTTGATCTGAAGGAAATTGCACATACTTTTTCTAAGGTAATGCCCAATATTTTGATAGCAAAGCACTAAATTAAAGTGTGTGTCTGCCTAGACCATGGCCATGTTGAGATCGAGTGAATGCTCGGATGGTAGCTATGCCTCATAAGGTGTGAACTCCAACCTTTCGTTGTCGCATTTCTGGGTGCCTGACTCTTCTTTATTATAAGGGCACTGAGGGGCATCTTCCCCTTGAATTATTGAACTTTGTTTTAGAGCATGGCCATTTTCTGTAATTCTAGTCCTTTGTGTGCACAGAAGTTGGCATTGTGTATTGTCACGTGCTTGAGATCTTAGCTGTAATTGGAAGCCTTAGACCCAACCCCCTGGGCTTGGGTAGTGCTGTGATTGCAGTGCACCCGACCCAAGTACAGGTGTGCAACTGTGGGAAGGGCCGGGTTCAGAGACAAATCTCCCTTTTCTTGTTAATTAGTTCTTGCTTGAGAATAAAACTGTGCCAAGTCCTTTTAAAGACTGGACCTAACAAAGTGATGTAATCAAACCTTAGCTTAACAAATGTAACTGGAAGTAAATATACTTACTTGGAAGGAAGCAAATAAAAGATAGCTCTATGTCGGCTTTCCCATCACCTGCAGTTTTGTTTCTTGTCCCTACCAACAGTAACTGATCAACTTACTGTGGGAGCTCTAGCCTTGTCGTGCCGGTGGTAGTAGTAGCACCACATGACACCTTATGATACATAACTTATTTATGAAATAAGTGTGAATGGTTTATTGTCTTCTACATGTGTGCAGTTCGCCTGCAATGCTCATACCATATGTGATCCTGAACTGAGGCCCCTTGGGACTGGACTGTTTCCTGCTATATCAATTATTAACCACAGGTGGTATCTGAGCTTTTGTTCACCTGTTTAGCATTTCTCTCAGATTTGATCATTTGTTAAATGTTGTATTTGTATTTACCCTTTTCTGGTATAAAGTTGTGTACCAAATGCAGTTTTGCTATTTGAGGGTCGGACTGCATATGTACGCGCGTTGCAACCCTTGAGTAGCAATACTGAGGTAAGGAATCTATTTTTTGGTCTTCTGCCTTCGTCATTCATTTGTTAATGTGCATGCTATGCTTTCTTTTTCTTTACATTTCCTCTCATTCTGGAGAATGTTGGATGCATATGCTTTGTCAGGTATCAATAAGTTATATCGAAACTGCAGCAACCACTTTGAAGAGACACAATGATCTCAAGCAGTACTTCTTCACCTGCACATGTCCCCAATGTATTAAGGTTTTCCATTCTGGTTCCCCGCTTTTTTTTCCCCAGGAAATTAACATTTGACAGGGGCATTAGTATGCACTAGCACCTTTGAGGTTCTACTAGTGCACTAGGCCACTAACAAACACATTTATAACATGTGAAAAATCCGGAAAGGAATCATGACACATATATGATATATATGTACCTTGCTACAAAATTTCAAGTCAGAGCTCTGTTACATTTTCGTCAATGTTACAGGATTCTGAGGAAGATGCTCTCCTGGAGGGATACAGATGCAAGGACCAAAAGTGTGATGGCTTTCTGCTGCCTGACTCGGGTTGGTTGGAAATTAGGAAAATAATAAATGAAGAGATGGAACAAAGAAAATTCTAAATCATAAGCAATCGTTCTTTATCTTACATTCTATATCTATTCAACATCTCTAGGAAAGAAGGCTTATACATGCCAGAAATGTAGCATTTCTAGAGATGAAGAAGAGGTAAAGAAGGTGTCAAGTGAAATATTACTGCTGTCTGACAAAGCTTCTTCGTTTCTTTCATCTGGAAGTATCCTTTGCTATCAATTTTTTCTGAAACAAATATATCTAATAAGCTTATGTTTTGTATTTCACAAAATTTGCGACCTTAAGAAGCAATATAGATAATAGTGAAGCAGGTTCAGTGTACAAGATCATTGAGCAGTTAGAACAGAAGCATTACCATTCTTTCTCGATCACTTTGCTTCACACACGTGAAACACTCCTGAAGGTATATTTCTAGCTTGTGTAGGAAAAACAATTATTTAAGGATGCACGACACATTTACTAGAATGACTGTATCATTAACTACTGCCCCCACTCACCCATGCACTTCACTAGATCTACTATCTCACCAGGCATACCATTGCTGCAGATATATATGGAGTTGCAAGATTGGCAGACTGCATTAATGTATTGCAGAATGACTATTCCAGTTTATGAAAGTAAGGCAACCTTGATCCTATTGTATTTAACTGGGAATATCTTATGCTATACAATTATATAATATATATTTTACAACATCATGGTTCTGAATTAAAGGGTTTGAATTCTACCAAACCATATTCTGACATCCGAGGTTAACTTCAGGAAAAACTTTGCATGTTTGTAAGAAAATTGTCTCAATCTCATGCCAGGAAGTGCTTTCCATCTGTTATCCCTATTCCTGTTTGATCTTGTTTTTTAGGCCTCTCGTTTTTTTTGTCTTAAAAGTTTGATAGGCTGAAACCTGTAGGGTTAATCCATAAAGAAATATACAGTGAAGAGTGGACTTAGGATGATCTGTTTTTGTCTTGTAAAGAAACAATTCATAGGTTGAAACCTGCTATTATGCTTCTTTTCATTGAAATTCCAAAACTACACTTATTGATAGCACTTGCTAAAAATATCATCATCAGTGAACAAAAAGTGAGAACCCTGCTGTGATCATGATCAGTACAATAAGTATCTATGCTGCAACTGCTGCTGCATGATAACGTTGATATTTTTGGCCACAACCCACAGGCCGCATAGTAGCTGGTAGAACATTATATCAGCAAGGAAGGGCAAGGGCAAAAGTTTATATATAATCTTAACCGTTTGAAAGGACATTTGCAAGCGATACAATAAAAACTGCTGTCTGTTTTCATTGAAAAGAATGTTTTCTCAGTTTTTCATTGCTCTTATGTTAGCTCACTGTTTATGGCAAAACTCGATGTTTGCTAATGTTGTTGCACTTTCATCAGGAGTTTACCCACCTTTTCATCCAATGGTCGGACTGCAATTCTATACTTGCGGAAAGCTCGAATGGTAAGGGTTCATGTGTCATCTATGATGTCACATTAATCATTTGTGTGATTGTCTGATGCTAACTTTGGCACTGTTAGGATATGGACACGCCTTTTCAGCAACCCTAGCACATTTTGACACAAGGTTTTAGTTGTGATGGTCTTTCATATACTCCCTCCGTTTCTAAATATAAGCCTTTTTAGAGATTTCAATACGGACGACATACGGATGTATATAGACGTATTTTAGAGTGTAGATTCGCTCATTTTGCTCCCTATGTAGTCCATATTGGAATCTCTAAAAGGGCTTATATTTAGGAACGGAGGGAGTAGTAACTAAAATTCGCAAGTAGTCCCTATGTTTGTCTTCTGTCTAACACTGGCTCTCTGTTTTCTTCTTTCCTGACTGTTCCTTCTTTGCACCGCTGAACAGTGCTAACTAAAAGCTCCTCCATGCCATAGGTTGCTTGAGTACACGGAGGACGCTCTGAAATCGTTAACTAGGGCAGCAGATGTACTTCGGATAACACACGGCACACAATCCCAGTTCATGAAAGAGCTATTTGGTAAGCTGGAGGAAGCGAGGGCAGAAGTTTCATTTAGGCTATCGTCTGGAGACGAGCAAATTTCATGAAAAGACGCAACTCACCGTGATGGCAAATAGGGATCGTCAAACTCAGGACAGTGGTATATGGTACTAAGGATAGCTCATTAGCACCCAGCAGACGATGCCTGAAGATGATGATACGGAGGATGCTGTGGTCATGATGAGATTGAAATCTGAGGTTTTGTTGAGGGAGGACACGCTCTACAAACAGCATGCCTTTGTCTGATGTAACATGGATAAGGTGTTGAGTTTAATGATGATGTAGCATTATTAGTTCCGTGGTTTCTTCTTTGGGCATTTCTCCTATCCAGGAGCTTGACTTTTTGTCCATAAGACCATAACTGAATCCGTCACATAGAGATTGCCTCATCAATCATCTTGCTAAAACAAGGTAGTAATATGGGAGGGAAGACTCTTGGAGTTGCAATTATGACCAACAAATGCATCTACTGAACTTCAACAGCGAAGAAGAATTATGACCAAGCGGCAAATGCATATACATTTCGTCGTCTACACATCTGATTTTTGTCGGTTCAAATGTGCTATCTGCTGATAGGGGCTAAGCGCAAACATTAATATTGACACGTCCTGTATTGCCCCAAGATGGGAAAAAGGAACATTTTGGGTAGTTGGTACCCTATTCTTCACGGTAGAGACTACTCCCTCCGTCCCAGAATATAAGAGCGTTTTTTACACTGGTGTAGTGTAAAAAACGCTCTTATATTCTGGGACAGAGGGAGTAGCATTTAGCTAGTATTATTACAACGGAACTCGGACCATCTTCAGCACAAACAAATCCCCCTTGTAGCCTCTTGAAACCCTACAAAAAAACTTGATTATATTTATTGTCATTCTGTAGTGATTAAGTTTGATCGTCTCACAGTCTATAAATCAGTACAAGTTGCTTTTACTTAGCTAATAGATGTCTCTACTATCTGGATATCAGGGCTCTTAATTAACTTACTGTACTAGTAACAAATATATTATGTACATCAAATGTGTATAGCAGGTAAATATCAGCTCTGAAGTTTATTTATTTATTTATGCAAATATTAAATCTTCTAATAGAAATAGCAAGAACCTAAAACTATTTGTATATGGGATTAACTCATAAGGCAATAACATCAATCTACCTGTTTTTTCATATGGCATGAATAAGGTAGGAGCATTGCATACATAAAATTAGGGCTTTCTCTGTACCTGGATTCAGTGGCGGAGTTGCTAAAAGCTCATTTTCCTAAGGTT